TCAGCTCATAACACTTAGCGAAAAAAGCCAGAGACAAAAAGGCAAATATTGTATGATTCCTTTTGTATGAGATACCTAGAATAGGCATATTCATAGAGACAGAAAGTAGATTAGAGGTTATTAGGGGAGACAGGGGAATTATTGTCTAATGGGTGTCGGGTTTCTGTTTGGGATAATTAAAATGTTCTGGAAATGGATAGTGGAGATGACTGTACAGTATTGTTAGAGTACTCAGTGCCACTGAGTTACACTTAGAAATGGTTAAAATGGTAAATTTTATGTTATGTGCATTTTATTTTTATGTGCATTAAAAAAAAGGGACTAGCAAGATATAGGGGGAAAAACCCTTTTTTGCTCAGGATTATATGAAATGCTCGATTCAGAGGCTCAAGTGGTTCTAGTTTAGGCTGAGACCAAGGCTATCCTCCGGTCCTGGGGGCCAGGTGGATGTGGGTGTGGGAAGCCTCTCTGGAGGGCTGGGATTTCATGTAAACAATCCTGAGACTGGAGGATGGGAGTGTCACCCAGTTGGGGACCAGGCCCTGCCACTCGTCAGGTAGTGAGGTGATGGGGGCAGTGGGAGGCGGGTTGGGTTTTCACCTACAGCTCTCCCCTTGCCAGCTGATTGACCCTGGATAAGTGTTATGACCTCTTCGAGCCTCCATTTCTTCATCTGTAAAATGGGAGCAATATTACTGACTCTGCAGTGTTGGAGGGTCTCAGAGACATAGGCATATGGTAGGATTGACTCCCCTGCTCATAGTAGGTGCTTAACAAATGGCAATGATTTTACCACTGGTGGTGACAGGTGCTTCCTTTCCTCAGAACTTGAGTTTCTTTCATCTTTCCACAAATCTTTTGTGCGTACCTACTGTGTGCTGGGACCAGCGTGATGAACAAGACATGCTCCCTGCCCTCATGGCATTTGATTTCTAGAGGGGGAAACATTATAGACAAGAAAATAAACACATCTATTATTACAAATTGTAATTAGGTCTGTGAAGGAAGACATAGGAGTTCAGGAGAGAGAATAACTCTGTGTAATCTCTGTGTGTGTGTGTGTGTGTGTGTGTGTGTGTGTGTGTGTGTGTAACTTAAGGGAGTCAGAGAGGGCCTCTCTCTGGGGTGGTGGCATTTAAGCCAAAGCCAGAAGGAGAGGAAGGACCCAGCTATGCAGAGAGCTGGGCTAAGAACATCCAGGCAGAGGGAACAGTATAAACAGAGCCCCTGGGGAAGAACAGAGCCAGGTGTGTCCCAAGGACTGAGAGGAACCTACCCCTTGCGTGTGGCTTTGGGTCCTGGACGAGGGGGATGGGCACAGAATGATGGTGGGGAGAAGGGCAGGGGCCAGGCCGTGCAGAGAGCTCTTTGCTTGGGCTGCCTGCTGACTGGTGCTTTAGACCCTCCTGTCCTGGGGGAGTCTCCGAGGCTGTGCCCTGTTGTTGGCACTGTGCCTGGGGACCTTTGAAATTGAGAAAATATTAGTGGTGGGGGGCTGATGAATGCCAGGCATTGGCCTCGATCGGGCCTGCTAACACTCACATCCCGGCATCCCCGGCTCTCTAATTGCGGAGCCGCACTGTTCTGCTGCAGTGGCCTTGGGCAAGTTGTTACCCTTTCTATGCCTTCGTTTCTTCCTCTGTGAAATGGAGATAATAACCCAAATGTATAACCCATACATTTAAAAAATATATATTTATTTATTTGGCTGTGCCGGGTCTTAGTTGCAGCACGCGGGACCTTCGTTGCCGCATGCGGGATCTTTTAGTTGCGGCATGTGGGATCTAGTTCCCCGACCAGGGATCGAACCCGGGCCCCCTGCATTGGGAGTGTGGAGTCTTAACCACTGGACCACCAGGGAAGTCCCAACCCATACACTTTCTATTAGGATCAAATGAGTCCAGGGAAAGGGCTTAGGACAGTAACAGACACATAGGCACATCCCATAAGCTTCCTGTTACCACTCCCGTTGTGTATGGCTCTGTGGAAATTCGTGTTTACAGGAGAGTTGACACAGCAGAGAGGGCAGGAGCATATCTCTGCCTGGAGCCAGACTGCTGGGTTTGCATCCTGCCTTCTCTGCTGGACAGTTGATTAACCTCTGTGCCTTGGTCTCCTCATCCATAAAACAGATGCTCAGGGTGGTTGTGAGAATGGAGTGAGTTAATTTACGCCAAGTACAAAGCACAGGGCCTGCCCTGTAGCAAGCGCGATGGAAGTATTTGATGTTGCTGCTACTTTTATTGCTGTTATAGTTTTCAGAATGGAAAGGCTGACCTGGGTGCTCATGCGCAGTAGAGGGAGACCCGGGGAGGAGGCTTACCTGAGGCCGACTTCCTGGGCCTGAGCCCTGAAATCCTACACTGCCAGCCCTGGGGAGGCTTCCTAGCTGGGGTCCCCAGGGCCAGTAGGAGCGGTCACTGCTGGCCACAGGGCACGGGCCAGAGTGGCAGGGGGCCCTGGCTCTGCCTGGCACATTCCAGGCTCCTGAGAGGGTGGCCAGGGGCCAGGGTGCCGGAGGGAAGGAGAGAGCCTTTTAAGGAAACATTTCTCTGCTTAAAAAAAAAAAAGAGAGACAAGAAACACTGAAACACACAACAAAGTTAGTGGGCTGGCTGGCCAGCTGTCCTGGAATGCACAGCTGTGGGTGGTGGGTGGAGGAGGCCACTGGGGGGCAGCAGGCCACGAGGGGCACCCAGGCATCAGGCCCTCGGACTGGGGGTCCTCAGCTGCCGCTCAGATCTCAGTCCTCGGCGGGGACAGGGAAGGGACCTGGGCTCAGGTCCCATTTTTTTCCACTGCCTTGGGGTGGTGCTGGGGTAGCAGCTCTCCCTCTTGTCTCAGAGGAAACCTGTCCATCCTGCCCTTGCCTCAAAATGTGTCCGTAACGCCCTCTCTCACTTCCCCAAATCCCAGTCCCGAATGGAGACTAGACACTCACTCTCGTGGATTGCAGGTGGAGACGGTGGTGGTGGACATGGCTGGCCCATGGCTGGCCCGTTGCTGCGAGGCCGTGGCGGTAGCCAGCAGCATGCCCTCCTCTTGCAGCTGATCCCACATTTAGGTTCCCAGCCTCATCCCAGCTCTAGCTCCAAGGAAAGGAGCAGATCAGGGCGCGCTGCTCTGTGGATTGACCCGCTCCCACCCCGGCTTGAGGGCCCATGGGTGATAGGAGGAGTGGGGACAGGAGACGCTGGGAGCCTGGCCCCATGAGGTTGAAACCTACAAGCCTCAGAGTGGGATTTGGGGCTGGGGGCAGGGGGAGACAGGCAGGAGACCACTGCTGGATGCGGGACTCCTGCCCTCAAGGTGCCTAGGGGATAGCAGTGTCCCCGTGGCTGAGACCTTGTCGGGTGGGCAGGGTGCCCTGAAGGCTGCAGCCACCTCCGGACTTTCCTGCCCTTCTGGCCTGTTCTTCTGGCATCCTCCACCCCACCCTTGGCCACTGATCAGCTGTGTGACCTTGGACAAGTTGTTTAACTTCTCTGTGCCCCCTGTACCTCAAACGGAGGTGTAATAGTACCTACCTTATTGGGTTGTTGAAAGGATTACATGAGTTAACATGGGTAAGGCATTGATAATAATACCTGTGCACATTCAGTATGCATTATATATGTTAGATATTGTTCCTTCCTTTTTTTTTTTTTTTGGCTTCACATGTGATTCTCCCAAGTCCTAGAGTAATGCTGAGTACAGGGTGATAGGCACTGAGGTTCAGCTCAGGCTTCTTTGCTGGAGAATGAGGTGGGCAGGGAGCCTGCGGTGTGGCTGGGTCAAGAACCCAGGGATGCTAACTCCCAGCCTCTCCACCCCTTCCAGAGCCCGGGGCACACTGTCCCACAGGTATGGTTCCCTTCTAGGCGGGTATGTCAAGCCGGGGTGATCCCTGGGGCTGGTCAGATGCTAGAACAGGGTCAGGTGAAGGAAGGGCCCAGCTGAGGGTGAGGCCTCTGTGAACAGCCAGCTGTAGCCCGGGCTGTCGGCTGGGGCGAGGGCCCGGGTTGCCTACTGTTTGAGGAGGCAGCCCCCCACTCTTTGGCGATCCACGGCTTATGTCCAGACACCCTCATGCCCGGAGCGGGGGGTGGCGGGGGGGAGAGCTTCCCCCGCCGTCCCCTCTGTGGGCCCCCTGCCTGGTGTTTGGGTCAGGAATTGGAGCCAAGGTTGAGGTATGAGCTCCAAGAAAAACGTGTCCCAGCTAGAAGAAAGGAACACATTGAGTCTCTGATAAAGGCCCCTGCTAATTGTCAGGGTAGTGGTTTGGCTGCCCGGCCCCTGGGGAGGGAGTGTTATCTCAGGGTAGGGAGCAGACCAGCCCCCTCCCTGCCCTCTCCCTCCATCTTGAGGCCACATGGCCACCCCCTCCCCCATTAGAGAAGAAGCCAAGGCTGATGACAGTCATAGCTCACCCGCCGAGGGGGCTTGCACTCTTCAAGGCCTTCCACATCTGTTAGCGATGTGGCCGCCTTCGGAAGAGTCGACGGGCCCTTCCCCAGCCTGTTTCCCTGCACGGTCTGGGAAACTCTGCCAGTTGTCTGCAGCTGTGACCTTTGGGTGAGGTACCTTGGCATTTGGGAGAATGGAGGAGGTGACTCTTCCTTTTCTGGAGGTCTTAAACACGGTTTTTGAAAAAATTAAAACAAATCTTACCATATTGTAGAAAATTTAGAACATAGAGCAAAGAAAAAAAAAATTTATTCTTATTACCTTAACCCTGGTGCTTTGACCTCCAGTTTTTCCGTATATTTTTTTATGGAGTTTAAAAAATGGGACTTGCATTTCACTTTTGCCTTCTGCCGCTGCCCCCACCCCCTGAGTGTTATTGCCGAAGCAGCTTTCCGTGTTGCTCCATAGTCCTCCCGCTGGAGAGTGTCGGTGTTTGTGAACTGAAGGGAGGGGTGTCCAGCACGGGGTGGCGGGGAGCGGAATGATCTCAGGAGGCCTTGGTTTTCTATGGGGATGAAGATGCTAACCTTGCCCTTTCTCTGTTCCTCCCACAGGTGGCTGCTCCCTGCATTCCTCCATCCAGCCATGAACTGGTGGTGAGTGACAGTCCATTCCTGCCAGCCCCGCCTCTCCCCTCTTTCCTCAGCTCCCGCTGCAGCTTGCTTGAGACCCAAGTATGCTGGTAGCCCCCATGGGTGCTGGGCCATTAGGTAATGATGAGGAAGGGGCCATGTCCCGAGGCCGAAGCTGAACTGGGAGGAAGTGAGTCATGAGGTCCTTTCATGACTTCATGAGATGCGGGGCCTCCTATTTCAATCTTGAGACTTAAGTCCTTGGAAAAACCCATAAAAGGACATCTCGCCTGTTTCTAGGCCTGGCCAGGTGCCTGTTGTCCTGGGGCTTACAGAACCAGGGAATGGCATCTCCTTCCACCCGCCTGGTCCCTGGTCAGGTACCCTTTGGCTGGAGGCAGGGGGAAGGATGGCGTGACCCACAAGAGTCCAGACACCTGGGCAGTTGCTCACATTCAGGTGGCCTGTTCCACCTCCAGTCTCCTTCGCTGACTCTGCTTTTCTGCCTTCTCTCCGCGTCCCCCGCTCTTCCCTCTCTCCCCCAATCAGGTTTCCGGAAAAGCATGGATGGGGCAGGACTTCTGTGTGTTGTGGGCTGTGGAGAGAGGCCTGCTCCAGACCCATCCCAGCTGGGCTGATTTGGAATTTGTCCCTCCCTGCCCTCTCCCTGCCTTCCTTCCCTTCAGAGGTCTCTCTTGCTCCCCAGCCCAGCGCAGGAGGCAGGCGGGGCCCTGGAGCCTGGAGAGGGAAGCTCCTGCCTGCGTGCAGGTGCCTGTGTGGGCGTTTGCGCGTGGGGTGCGTCACGGAGGGCCCCTGTGGGCACCATCCGACTGGCTGGTGTGGAGGTGCCTGTGGTGACACTGATGCGGGTGGGAGTCCGGGGGAGGCGGCACGGGTGCCACAGGACCCAGGCAGTTGGAGGCATCTGCACACCCGTGCGGTATCCAGCTTGGATACTGGAATCTCGCTCAGGTCTCCTGGCCTTTTCTCCTCCAACACCCGTTTGCCGCATGACAATGGGCCAGTCCCTGCCCTCTTTCTGAACCTCAGTTTCCCTCTCCGTCAAAGAGAGGGGTTGCACTGGATGCTCCAAAGGCTTTCTCTGTGCTGACACATATCCCCGCCCCCGCCCCTCCCCGCCACCGTTCAGGGTCATCGATGGAATGAAATAAAGTATGCAAAAAAAAGTATGCAAAAGTGCTTGTGACTCTTAGCTGTCTTTGGACCCAGAACAGTGTCCCTGCTCTCTGCCCTCCCAGCCCAGGCTCTGCTTAGCTCTTTGCCTTCCTTGCATCGGCTTCTCTTTCCTAATCTCACTGGGCTCAAACCCTTCCGGGCCTCGGCACTGCCTGGCTGTGCCGCTCCAGATGTGGAGTATTATTCGCGCAGAGCTCAGTTGAAGGTCATCTGACAACAGCAGGGGGTGGGAGTGGGGTGCTGTGGGGATGAGGCCAGAGTGCAGGCCTGGTTTGGAACTGCCAGGGAGAAATCCCTCTGGGGCTGTGGAGGGACACAGTCGGGGGCGGGCGGGGAGGGGTGGGGTGGCGAGCCTACGTCTCATCATTTCAACCCAACTTCCCCTTCACTGCTGAGAACAGAACGTCCTTGGCTGGTCTAGTATGTCTGGGGGTCTCTGGGATTTAGGCCTCTCCAGGCATAAGCCAGACGCCTGACCCCTGGGAGTCTTGTGAACTTTGTTTAGGCGAGGAAGGGTCAGGGGTTGGAACAGAAGGGAATAGGTTGGCATTGTGGCTGGAGGGATTGCAGTCAGATACCAGAAGGGACTCCTGCCTGAGCCAGGCTGTGGAAGCTTCCCATCTCTGTGACGTGCCCCATCTGGGCAGGGGGCCTCTGATCTTCGCAGAGGTTGAATCAGACATCTGGTGGTGGAGTGCTTGTGACACCAGAGGTTTCCCCACCTGAGTCAGGACCTGACCCCTCCCAAGCAGTGGTCAAAGAGCGAGGGAGTTCCACTACCTCCCTCTGGATCCCGGCTCCCCAGGCCCCGAGTCTGTGGCTGTGGACACATTGCTTAACCTCTCTGGACCTCAGTTTCCCCTCTGCGGGTTGGGAGTTAGTAATAGTACCTACCTAATAAGGCTGTGAGGAAAATGAAAGGAGCAAATTAACTCATTGAATTAATCTGTATTCAGAATCCTCCAGTGGCTGCCCACCACTTGGAGTAAAGGCCCAGGTTCTTCCATGGGTCTACACAACCCTGCACAATAGACAGATTTCCTCTCTGACCTCATCTTCAGAGACTGCCTCGTTCACTCACTCTGCCTCAACTACCTGGCCTTCTTGCTGGTCCTTGAACATACCAGGAAGATGCTGCCTCAGGGCCTTTGCACTTGCAAAGCTTTTCCTGCAGGTACTTGCCAGACTCTTTCCCTCCTTGAGGTCTTTACTCAAGTGTCAGATTTCCCTTCCCCCAGCAACCCTCTCTCCCTTCCCTGCTTTCTTTGCCCCTCAGCATGTGTCACCATCTTACTTGCTTATCTTGTTTAAAAGACTCCCCCCATGTTTAGCATGTGAACTCTGTGATGACAAGGGACTTCTGTCCTTTGTGTTCATTGCTGTATCCCCACTGTGTGGCACATAGTAGGTGCTCAATGCATGTTTATGGAGTGGCTGGAAGAAAGGCATTCAGCCAGATGCGCGGCACAGATTAGGTGCTCAATAAATAGGACAGCTGTCCTCTATCCCTTACTGGTGGGCCGTGGGGGCCTATTAGGGGGGCCAGCCTCCAGCTGGAAACTCTGCTGCTGTCCCCAGGGAGGGAAAGTGGCCCAGGGGAAGCCGGGAGAAAGTTTGGCTTCCCCCAGAGAGCACTCAGCACCTGTTTCCTCACGGCAGGCAGGCAGGCAGGCAGGCGAGTGCTTTGAGCAGGTTCACAAGGGGGAGGAAAGGGCGGGTTTTATTTTTCCTTCCTTTTCCCTTTGCTGCCTGCCTTCAGCCTCTGTAGGGCTGGTCTCTGGCCTCCCCGCCCCTTCCCTCTTGCTTCACACTGTGTGTCTGTGTGTTTGTCAAGTTTTCTCCATGCCCCCAGCTCTCCCTCTGGCCTTCTCACCCATCTTACTTCAGTCCTACCCCCCTGGGATTGGGACCACTCATCCCTGGGCCTAGGATTTCTGTCAGCCTCTGTGCCCTGCCAGCCAGGGCAGAGTGGCTTAATCTTCAACCCATGTTTTCGTCTTACTTAACAGATGTTGCCCAAGGCCTTGGGTAGAAGGCTCCTAGGGTCACCTCCCTGCTGTGGGGTCCACCGGCGGGGGCAAGATGGAGAGGGGTGAGGGTGTGTTTGCCGTGGACACTCCTGATCCTTGGAAAGTGCTGAAGCAGCTTTTCTCAACTTCTGACAAATAAGAGTCAAACGGAATTTCCCAAGGGTGATCGCCAAGTGGAGTGGCCACCCAGGTGGGCCAGATATGAGCCCTTCTGCACGCACGGCCTGGCACCCAGGAGACCTGGGGGTGGGGGGAGAGCCGTGTGGGCACTGCTTCTCGTCCCCAGGCCAGGCCCGTGGCAGATGCTTGAAATGTCCTGTGGAACGAAACCCATTGAGTCGCAGGTGGGGTGGAGAGTCTGCGGTGGGGGAGGGGGATGGGGGATGGGAACGCCAGGTTGGTTTCACCTATAATAGTAATCAGAGCAATAGCGAAAAGTTAACCCTTGTATGGAACTTTCTTTGCAGACCTTTGCTGTGAAAGCTGTACAAAAATAAACTCATTTATCCTTCACATTAATGCAGTGAGGGAGGTGCTGTGATGATCCCAATGTCTCAGATGAGGAACACAGATGAGGCCTAAGGCCACAGAGCTATTTGAAGGGGGCACTGGGACTTCAGCATGGTCCACACTCGTGACCATAATAATGACAAACGTGACTGGCTTGCACAGCAGCTGCAGTTTTCAGAACCCTTACCCTGACACCGGGCCAACCCGAGCCCACAGTGACTTGTGTGGAGGTCTGGACAGGTGTGAACCCTTCCTGGGGAGAGGAGCAGAGTGGGGCTCAGAAAGGCCAGGTGACCGATTCACAGCCGTGCAGCGGTGGCAAGGGCTGGGATCAAGACTGGGGTTTCGGATTCCTGGGCCTGCTTTCTCCCCGATACCCTCAGTACTTGCCGCTGATGTAAATAACCGATATTGCCAAGTGGGCTTCTCCTGGATTTCTTCTTCTAAACAGTGCCAGCCATGAGCTAGCTTCTCCATTTGCCAGCGGGCCTGGGATTTAGGGGCAGGTCTATCCATCCATCTATCTGCCATCCATCCTACCAACAAACACCTCCTGAACGCCTGCCTTGTGCCAGGACTGTTCTCATGCTGGAGCTGCAAGGTTCCTTTCTGCTGAGTGCCAGGGCTTCTGGAAGGCAGGTGGAGATGCAGTAGGCACAGAGCCATAGGAGTGAGAGGACTGGAGGCCATCTAGTCAAATCCTGCTCTTTCCCAGCAGAGGAAACTGAGGCCTTGGGATTTTTTTTTTTTTTTTCTAATTCATTTCAAAAATTATGGTAAAATACACATAACATAAAAATTACCATCTTAACCATTTCTGAGTGCACAGTCAGTGGATTAAATACATCCATTTCATTGTACAACAATCACCACCATCCACCTCCAGAAGGCTTTTCATCTTGTAAAACAAAAAACTCTGCACCCATTAAATAATAACTCCCCAGTCCCTGCTAACCACCATTCTACTTTCTGTCTCTGTGAATCTGACTACTCAAGTACCTCATGTAAGTGGATTCATACAATATTTGTCCTTTTGTGACTGTCTTATTACACCTAGCATAAAGTCCTCAAGGTTCACCCACGTTGTAGCATGTGTCAGAATGTCCTTCCTTTTTAAGGCTGAATAATATTCCAGTGTGTGTATATACCACATTTTACGGATTCATTCATCTGTCAATGGACACCTGGGTTATTTCCGTGTTTTAGTTACTGTGACTGATGCTGCTGTGAACATGGGTGTGTAAATATCTCTTCGAGTCCCTGCTTTCCGTTACTTTGCGTATATAC